TAAAACGCGCGCGTCCCAAACACCAAAAAAAAAAAAAAAAGTCACTTCCAGGAGCTACCGACGCCCCCCTCCAAAAAAAGACAGACCCGGGTGTTATGTAGGATGATTAGATCGTATCTGGGACAAAGATAATTTTGGTAAAATACGCGGCGCATTAAGATAAACAAAGTAGTACCTTCTTTAACTGTATTCATTCATAATTACTCATTATTTACAAGGACCACCGTGGACTCCGACACTTAAAACACTCAAAATAAATATTTACGAAGCAAATTTCTCTACAGTTTTTCCTTTGTTGTTCTCCATTGACTTCACACAGTTCCAGATAAATTCTCCGTCGCCACCAAAGTTTCCCCTGTCCGTGGGGGCGGATGGGGCGTGGCGGAGGGATACGGTATCAGGTGAACCAACGTCAATCACAGCCCTGTGTAGACACCTAGTACTACTTTTCCCACAGCCGCTGGACATGAGTGACGTCACGTACAGCAGACCACAAAACTTACGTTAAAGCCATTTCCGGGAGTTATAGCCACCGCCCTAACAGGGACCGGAGATCCGGGAGTTATGATGTGTGACAATAAAGTACGTAGATCAATAGCCTGTGAATGTGAACTTCTTGTTCAGTAGCTATAACTTAAAAAATACACTTTCCGACTTTTCATGTAGCCAATAAAGGAAGATAACGTTTGACCATTAACATTCGTTCCTTTAGTCATTGTACCACGTGATGAAATAAGACAAATATAAATCAAATTCTCATATGTTTGACTTTAGACCAGCATCACCTCGTGGAGATACACCGATTTTTAACATAGTCGTAGAAGTGTCGGAGTGTAGTCACGTGTCAATAATAATTTCGTCATCTGTCAGACTGTATCGGCAATATGATTTTTGTCATCTGTCAGACTGTATCGGCAATATCGCTTTTCATTCATACAGCAAGTGCATATTAAAACAACAAACGGAGAATATAGAACGTTACAAAAAGACAAATGTTAGATCATCAAAAAGGGAAAATTACAAAATGGTTCCTCAGAGATCAAGGCACGGCTAACTTTGTACTACATGGGTAACTCAGTACCACGTGGATTTATAACAAAATTAACCAAAAAAAAAAAAAGAGGCGTACTTGAGTCCCGGTGTTCACACAGAGACGTTTGAAAATGCAATGGCGCCCTCTTGTGCCAGAGTGGCTACAACAGCAGAAGGGAAATCAGCAGCCTGTGTTGAAACACTGGTTCTCGAACTACAACACTCGTTAGAACATGTTCCTACAGAACACTAACGCACGGAGAAGTGGTGATATTTAAAAGTGGCTGGTACTCTTATTATCTGTATTTGGAAGGTATTTAGAAAAGTACCAGAGGAATGTTACACTAAACGTTTTAAAAACTCAAACGTACACACTTAAAAATGTTTGAGTTTCTCCACAGGTTTCAGAAAAGACTCATTCTCCTCCTCAGGAAGTCTGGGTCCAAATTGGGTTCTGAAAATACACAGAGGAAAATCGTTAAATAATAATTTTATAGATCATTACTGAATGTATGACACGATCTGCAACTGTGACGTCATTTTGTGTTTGTCTGCATTAAATATGCTGCTACCCCTCCTTGGCCTGTAGATGGTACTAAGTGTACATGTGAATAGTATTCGGTCTACGATTCATATGAACTGCAGCAGTTATTTATATAAATGTCCTTCTAATAAAGTGTGAAATGGAAATTAAAGTCCTAATTAACAGAAATCAAAATCAAGTTAAAGTTAATCCATAACAGGATTAAGATGTCCCAGATACACAGGACCACCATCAGGGGCAGCGTTGTCTCTCCTTACTTGTGGTAGTGTTGGAGAGTCGTCGTCGTCGTTGGAACGGGATGGCCGACTGTGAGAGTGAGGACAACACAGGAGGACAGAGAAGACAACATGTGAGAGAACCATCTTCAACCAGACATACTGTACGTTCTCAGTTGTTGACATGGATCTAAGAACAGAACCTGGTCTGGACCTCAGTGGACGTGGACCTGGACATTTACCTTTCTCCTCCTCTCCACTGACTCCCCAGGGCCATTCAGGGCCGCGATCCTCCTCTGGATGTCGGACACCTGAGGGTAGAGACAACGTTCACGGATTGAAGTGTTGGGTTGAACCATCCTTCATACCCCTCCTAGCCCAGCTGTGTTTGCCCCCACCTCACTCTGGGTGTTCTGAACATGAGCAGCTGCCTGGGCCACCCAGTCCCCCAGCTCCACCAGTAGAGCTGTGGAGCCTCGGAACCCTGGCTGGGACTCTTCCTCTGGACCAGTCTGGGACTTTCTGTCCGGGATGTCAGTCATGTGGTTCATCTACACGGGACATGGAGACTGTTAGTGGGTTCTGGGACACGTCCAACACAGCTCCTCATGTTATACTGTGACATCAGACCAGAAGAAGAAGTATTCCAACTCAACCACAGTGGAGGGGGGGGATAAAAGACCCTCCAGAGTACTGTAGTTTTGGTGTTCATAAAAGGATCAGCAGAACTGAGGCTCAGATTTATGACAACACTGTGAAGTTAAATCAGCCCTGATGGGACTGGGTTTTTTTTTTTTGGAGAAACTGAAATTGCGTCAGTCCAGATGTTCAGTGTATGTTCCTGTAGAATTTTCCAGACTGAACCTATACCAGTGTAAACTCCAGTTCAAATAGATTTCAGTAAATGGAATTGAACTGTCTCTGTGGTGAGGACACGTCGCCCTACCTTCTGAAGGTCGCCCTACCTTCTGAAGGTCGCCCTACCTTCTGAAGGTCACTCAGCTGAGGCTGCTCCTCCACTGGTCTGAGCTCCTTGATGCTGGTCCTTGATGTAGGTCTGGATGAGTTCCTGGAAAGTTTGGGCTCCACCTCCAGGCTCCTCCAGGAGGAATGCGGCCGCTGGGCCTCGTCCTCGTCCTCATCGTCATCGGAGCTGATGCTGTGGTCACTGATGTTGTTGGTCATCTCCTGGAGCTTCTGCTTCAGCTGCTGCTCCTCGAAGTCCACCTCCTCCCACTGAGGGAGAGGAGAGGAGCTGTTTGGAGACGTGGAGCCCTGGGTGGTGTGACAGGACAGAGGTCAGAGGTCAAACCGAGCTGTGGTCACAGTCTGTGTTCCGCTCGTGACCTTCACCTGATCACATGCCGAGATGACTCTCAGTTCCAGGCGAGTTAAGAACGTCTCCAAGGTGGAGATACGTCTCTCCAGGTCAGTGGCCTGGAAAAGAACAAAAACATGAATATCTGTGTAGATTTATCTCCAACTGTACACTGCTGCCCCCTGCTGACTCCCACCGAATCTGAGCCTCAACAGAGTTTAATACTCACTGCAGCCATAAACACACTGTTCCACCGTCACTGATGAGTTCCACGTGAGGGACTCATGGGTTCTATAAAAACATCTGTAACTAACCACTGTTAACTCGTTAGACTAATCAAATCAAACTGTACTAATCTGGTTACTGTGGTCAGGTGACTTCCTGTCAAACTGAGAAGAAAAATCTGACACAATGTCCTCAAGTAAAGACAGAAAACTCAATAATCACATATATTTCATATGTACTCACAGTACACATACACAGAATACTGTATATACTGTAAGTATCTCTGCCATGACAACATATCCACACCAACAGTTGCACCAACTGTCACCTGTCTGTCACCTGACCAGCTGCTGCCAGCCCACATCTGACCTGGTACAGGTTGCACCACCATCTGTCACATGAAACCAGATAGTTGGTGTGGACATCAGGAGCGGCTCACGTGGACTGGACCGCAGCCCATGATCCAGAGCAGACCAACAACACTGGTCAACACTGTTCTTCACATTCTGAACTCTGAGTTCTTATCTTTTCTTAGAACAGAAAATTTTTTGACTGCAGTCCAACAACGCAAGTTTTAAAACCAACGACCAAAAACCAAGAAACACAAACATATTAATATAATATATTGACATATTACATAATATTCACATATTACATAAATAGATATAAATATAAAAATTAAAAATGTTTTCTTTTCTACAAACCATTCTTGCATTCAACGGTATTGATCTGCCTGTTATAATGACATCACAGTGACAGTCAGCTGACAGACCCTCAGACTGGTGGTAAACAACAGTCTGTGAACAACACCGTCTGTGAACAACACCGTCTGTAAACAACACCGTCTGATTACATCTGCTCCTCATCTGAACACATGTCAACACTGTTGTTTTCATCTCCGCACAGACTGAACAGAAATAACTGATGATGTCACAGCTGTCAGCCGTCCACCCCCTCTACACAGAGAGAGAGTGAGTGTGTGTGTGGGGTGGGGTGGGGAGCGGGGGGTGGGGGTGAGGGGTTGGTTGAGGTCAGACTTTCCTGAGAAGTGCTGCTGGAGGGGCGCAGGTGAGAGTGGAACAGAAAGCAGGGCTGGTCGCTGTCCTCCTCCTCCTCCTCTTCCTCCTCCTGCTGCTCCCCCTCTGGGTCATCACAGCCGGGCAGATAAACACCGATGCCCCCCCGCTGAGGCCCTGAACTCCCACTGCCGCAGGAGGAGTAGCTGAGCTGGGACACCGAAGAGGAAGGGACGACTGGGTGGTCTGAGGACAGAGGACAGTTAGAGATGGAGACACGTCACTGGTACACTCAGGTCACATGACTGGGACCACTCGGACCCTGGTCCCGTGTCCAGACGGTTCCAGTCGGTGCAGGTGTTGAAGGACAGATCACATGGTCACACCTGTGTGTTTTTCCTGTGAAATCTGCTGGAACACGGTGGCCAGGTCGGCCTGGGCCAGCAGGGACTTCCTCCGAGCTGCGCTGACGGTCACCACGGAGTCATGTGACTCCGGCTGCTGGGTTTAAGGCACAACAATAACAGACTTTACTGGAACTTCAGAATACTACAGGTGTACTACACTGTATCTGCAGTAGTACTTGGTTGGGACATTGGTCCCTCTTGTACCTGGTATGAAGGTCCTCTGGACTTTGGAGTGTTGTCCCAGCAGACTTCAAAGTCCACGGGGTCCACAGTCAGACGCCGTTTGACCTTCTGTCTCGTTCAACATCAAAGAGAGTTTGAAAAAGTTCAGTTTGTTGTAAATGTGACTGAAACGAAGGTTTAAATTCGTTAAAACCTCAGAGTTTAATCATTATAAGAAGATTAAAGGCTGAACTGGAACTACACGGAGCTGAGGGAAATGGAAAGGTTCCTCAGGTTCTTCAGTCAGAAAACTGCCAGATTAAAATGCAGTACTGTGTTAGAACAGTAGATGGCACAGACGGACGATGAAGAAGAGAAGTGGGGAGCAGCTCAGAACAGCCTCTCAGTGTACAGGAAAAATCAAACAGTCACCTACACAGATGAACCAATGTTCCCTGCAGAACCCACAGTCCACAGAGTCCACCACAGACCACCACAGACCAACCACAGACCAACCTGAGGTTTTGCCCGTGTACCATACCCCTGTCACAGGGAATTAAAAACCAAAAGGAACAAACTGCAGCTCCGACATTTCTACAAAGAACGCAGAATCCTGGAGGTTTTTATGAAGAACACCAGTGGACTCAGTTCTCCACTTTATCATCCTGGGGACTTGAACCTGAGACTCTGTGGACTGGGGTTTCACTCTGATGTGTGTCGTGATGTCTGACAGGCTGCTTTTAACCAGAGTGCACCGGGACCTCTGATCTCAGCAGGCGGAGCTGGTCTTCATCCCACTGATGCCTGTCAGCGATGATAGGGACCATATATTTAAACATGTATATATACTGTATATATGTATATATATTTCTAGTCTTATACTTTTATTTATATTGATGTATTTTATAATTTTATATGCGTTTTGTTTTCCTGCATTTGTCCGTGCTAAAGTTTAACAGTGGAAATTCCACCATGTGTTGAACTTGAACGCACCACCAGCTGCAGCCCACAAACAGAGGGAACATTACTCCTCTGTTTTACCGCCGAGGTTTGTTGGGACAGGGTTGGAGGGAAGGGGCGGGGGGGAGGGGAGGGGGGGTTTATGCCTTCCACCCCCCGGTCCCTGGTGCCATCTGTGCCCATGATGTAGACACCTGCCTGAACGATTTGGACTAGAACCAGTGGGTCTCAGTGTTACCTCTCTGTAGAGCTGGGACTCTGATGCACTCAGGCTCCGCTCCTCCTGCTCCTCCTGCTCCTCCTGCTCCTCCTGCTCCTCGTATCCTCCTGCTGACGGAGACAACGCAACACTTCATGACAACAGCACAGCAGCAACAGTGAAAAAGGAACTGACAACATGTCTAGGCCCGGGGTCAACAACACTGCTGTCTCAGTGACATCATCACTTCTGTGACATCATCACTGCTGTCTCAGTGACATCATCACTTCCATCTCAGTTCTGGACACTTTTTTCGAGAAGTTTTCTGGCGTGTACATGACTTTTTTTCGTAGTACTGCTCCCATCTGTGGTGATGTTCGGTGACATCATCGTCGTACTCTTTCTCACAGAACGTCTCAGATCAGAAGCAGCTGCAGAAGAATAATCCTGAAAGAGGATCCAGTGGAACGGGGGTTGAGGGGGGGGGTGTCACAGGTGGGTGGTCACTGCTCCACTGCAGCTGCAGCGTCACTCCACTGTACTGTACACAGAGACCCACACCGTCCAAGCTGTGAGGGCCCAGCGGCCCACAGCAGTGTGTTCACAGAGAGACAGAGGGGAGGGAGCGGGTGAGGGGGGGGCGGCTGACGGGGGTAGTGCACTGTCATGCATGTTCAATCTAATCCAGCTGGTCACATGAGCGCCTGATCATTTTAAACATTTTTACTGAAGTCTTCTTTTTATTCTTACTGAGTTCACAGCAGCAGCAGATGAGTCGGAGTTGTCAGAACCCCCTCCCATCTCCCCCCTCATTCTCTCTCTCTCTCAATCATTTTCATTTTCTGGTTCTGTTTCTGGTTGATCAACCTCTGCTCAGATGTTTTTTTTTTTTTTATACCCAGACAAATAATGGGAGACATGTGACTGAGGGATCACAGGACCAGGACCGGGCTGAGCCAGACATTCTTCGCCTGGATTTCTGCTCCAAATCTTCAGGCAGGAGTCTGGAACATGAGTCACTGATCTGATGCAACGTTCTCTGCTGGAGTTCTGCGGTGAAGATGGTGTTTAATCCTAATTATTAATTTTTGCTTCCTTCAAAAGAAGCCTTTTAGAGAACATCAAAAACTGTTCCAAGTCTCACCACCAGCTAACAGTTAATCATCACTCGCCCCCCGTCTCCCCCGCCGCTCTCCCTCTCTCTCTCCCGTTCTCTCTCTCTGTAGTAAATTTATTACAACACTTTATTACTAAATAAATGTTGGACTCAAAATAAAACACCCATGTGTTTTACTGTTTGAGGTGGAGCTGATGGAGAACCAGAAGAACATCAAACTGCAGAAGGCACGAGTGGATTTAAAAAAAAAACAAACATCTGGGTCGTGGACTGCCACAAGGCCATTTAGCCAGGCTGATGGACATTTTCAGTCAAGGCAATCTGCACCAGTAAACACCGCAATATGGAAGTCACCGCCCTGTGTCTACACAGCAGTGTAGTAAGTTATCTGTTTATTTACAAGAAGAACCAAACAGCAGAGGAAATGTTCTGATCCAGGTCCAGGTCCAGTTACTGCTCTGTGATAACTCTGTGCACAGCTGTGAGGAGGCTGGGAGAAAACAGCAGGAAGGTTGGGGG